AAAAAAAAAAAAAAAAAAAAAAAAAAAAAAAAAAGACTAACAAGCTAAGTATAGGTATAGTACTGCAATCCCAGTGTACAGAAGGTAGGGGCAGGAAGATTGTGAATTTAAGAGCAGCCTGAACTTATGATGAGACCCTGTCTCGAGGCAAAACAAAAACAAAACAAACAAGATACAAGGGCCAGGGATGTAACTCAGTGGTAGAGACTCGACGAACATGTACAAGACCCTGGTTTCAATCCTTAGCAAATGGAACCAAAGCAAACTAAACTCCATCCAATTAGCGGCCCAATTCCATCTGCAGCTTCAACCCCTCCTCTTTGCCTTATAATGTAACATATTAACAGGCTCCAGAGATTAGGAAAAGACACCCTGGGTTGGTGTGTGTGCCTGTGTGTGTGTGCATGTATATATGCGTGTGGCCACACTCAGGTATGTTTTTTCTGCCAACTCCAGTTTTTTAAGCTCTTATTTAGTTTCTCTTGGTAGCTTCTTGAGTGACACATGTGAAGTTAGTTAACAAAGCCACCTCATTGGATGAACAGAGGCATTGGGGAAGACCAGGATCACTGAGGAGACTGGCTGAGGTGTGTATAACGTGGGTGGAAACAAGGCAAAATCCAGAGGTGTGAGTCACAGTAATTACAACCTCTTAAAAGTGCATTTTACTAATGTACAATGATGGTGGAAAACAGAAAGGCAAACATTAAAATGCTAGAAGTAGCAATATTAGGCTGCTGGGCACAAGAATACACATCATTCTTTTTTATATAAAATCAAATTCCTAGCAATATGCTTAGATTATGTTTATAAAGAGGAAAAGTTAGGATTGAACTAGCTTTATTGAATCCATCTACCCTCTTCTCTTCCATGTCTTTTCCCAAGAGCATCTTACACGGAACACCCACTCAGAGGTTACTTGAAAACAGAAAGGGAGACAGAAGGGAGCCTGGGAGGGAGTTTCTGGAAGAGGGAAATAAACATGACAGCAGGAGGCTGGCTGCGGTGGGTTCAGAATGCTCAGCCTGCCCTGGCTTTGCCAGTCAACTCTCTGCTGGCTTCTTTGGAGACAAGTAATTAGTATGCGCAGAGCAGCCTGTTAGCCACTCCACCTTTAATGAGAGGCTTGCTCTGACAGGCTGCCTTTTCCATGTCTACTAGGCTATGAAGACAGAGGGGTGAAGGGGACTCCAGGGCCCCTGTGGCTAGCCTTGCATCTGCAGTCCTGTCTGCTTATCCCAGGATAGAAGGAGGCTGTACTTAGGGCTTGCATCCCTGCTCAGGGTGGCAGGGCACCAGGAAGGTCAGAATGTCCAGGCCTACCAGCTGCTATCATCCTGCAGAGAGTGGCCCAGGTTCTGTGTGTAGAAGTCCACAGGGGGGTGAAGAGAGATGTCTAGAAATGCCAGGACTGGCAGGCAAAGCCCTTCACAATTCAGCCTTCACCAGATTCTCCAGATAGATTTGCAGC